GGTCGTGCATACAGGGCATCGATTCTCTCTCTTTAAGGCAAACTTCAAGTACGTTTGAACAAAACAGCCTCTGAATGGCAAATAAGGCCGTAATTCATTTCGGCTGGCTCCATTCCTTCGTCAACGAATCCTCACGCCACTCACGTGGCGGGCTCCTGGCAGGGCAGTCGTGACGTCATGACACAACGCGTGACGTATGGCGTGCGTTCTGCTCTCAAGCTAATTAATGGGTGTCTCAGGCGTTCGCACGTTCCCAAGGTCTCACTCCTTCCCGGTCAGACGATGCGACCCGCTCCACAAATTGTTTTCGTCCGTTTTATTAATTGGAAAAAGTCGAGTTTCAACAGCATTCAGCGGGCCGAAAGCGAACTCCCTTTCCGGGCAGCGGATCGTTTCCAAAGTCGATTGAATCGTCTCTTTCGAGGTCTTCCCGCTCGAAGACGTTTATCGAATCGACCAGTAGATGTCTCCAGCGATGCGGCAATTAGGGAGCCCTGGATGTAGCTGCTCCCTTTCTAGTCGGCCTGCTGCCGTCGTCGCTGTCACGCGCGATTGTGGGTGGCTCATCAATAGGCTTTGGTAGCGCCTATTACCTTTTTTATTTCATTTCTTTTTTTCCTCTAGGACCATCTTCAGACTATGGTTCGACTGCAACTGAACTGCGTCTTCGAAATCAACCTCAGTATCGGTGTTTGAAGATTCTGTTTTTCACTGCATGAGACAATTTTGTGCCGAGTTCATTAAACGAATGAAATGACGGCTGGCAGGGGTCTATCGATTCGGAAGGAGGTGGAGATAATATATCTCATTCGAATACAAGTAAAGCAACAAAATGGACTCAGCATTTTCTCCTCGGAACTCGTCGAGGCGGCTCGAGTAACTGTGGATGAGCCAATAGTTCCTCATCCGCTCTGAAATGGTTCGTGAAACTCGAAATGGACCTCTAATCGGTCTAAAGTTAGAAATACTTTGTTGAAAGAGCCGTGCGAGTCTGGAATAAGCCTGCGTTTGGCCTAACTTAACACGTACTCGAAGACCAGGGATTAATCCTCATAGGCCTAACCGGCCGAGTAAGTCCGTTAGGCCTAGGCCTAACGTTAGTGAGTTCCGTAATAAGGGGTGAGGGGGGGGGGGGGGGGGGGGGGAAGAAAGACGTACTCGATGTGGCTATTTTTTTAAGGGGGTGGCTCCTCCTCCACTCCTCGGTGAGGTCCGCCGCTAAGCCCACACTGCCTACGCCTCAGAATCAGCATTCATCCACCAATGTCCGGGGGTGAGAAATCCCTGCATTGCAGCATTGAAAGAACCATTTATTCTTCATATCAGTTCATCTATCCAAATGAAGAAAAAAAATTATTCGATGGAAAGTAGAAGAAGAACGTAGAAAACGTGTGGAAATGCATTTTCTTCTCGTCCCATCGGGAGAAAGGCCGTCACCATCACCCAGAGCCAGGCCGTCACCGTCACCCAGAGCCACGCCGTCACCATCGGCGCCATTTTACCCTTTTCGCGGACTCCCGTCCGCGAAAAGGGTAAAAAACGGACCAGCCGAGCGAAATTCACGGGATCCGTATCTCGCAGAGCACGCTCCTCGTCGACTCGCCCGTGATGTCGTTCCAGCACGGATAATACTCCTGGGACTTTAACTTGGACCGGAGGGTGTACGTCTCGCTGTTGAGTCCGGGCCGCACGGCGTTCGTCACGAGTTCGGCGCATCGCTCCGTCGCGCCAGAAGAAGAAATCCGGTTGGCTCTCGCACCAGTACAGAGACGAGGTCTCCACGATCGAGCCTGCACGAGACGGCAAACGAAAATGCGGAACGGATCCGGACGCAAAGAACCCGGAAAGAAATGGGACCGACCGGTGGCCCAGGTGAACACCCCGTCGTCAGCCCCGAGCCAGGAATCGTGAGTCCCCATGCGCTGAGCGATGCGATCGTGCCACTCTTGACTCTGGTCGTCCACGACCATGTGACCGTCGCCGTCGGCCTTACCTCTGTAAGGCCGACGGCGACGGTCACAGCACGACGGTGGTCGCAGCGCCGAACGTGTGGAGCCCGTTCGGCTTCCGCAAGAAGTGAATGTGATTTTTCGTCACCATGACGAAAGAGTAGCGTTTGGGAACCAGGTCACCTGTGAGGATCGAAGTCACATCAGGTCATCTCCTGGTGAAAATTGCGATCGTGTCAGGTTCTCACGGTCGTAATAGAGTACCGAGGTACCGCCGGGGTCTTGCACCTCGAATTTGGACTCCTTGCCTCCGAACCGACACCTTTTAATCCCAGTTCTTGCATCCGTCTCCACAGAGAATATTTTGCATTCGGGTTCCCTTGGAGATCCAAAAAAAAAAAGAAAATAAATCGTTCGCGATATCGAGGAAATACAGGTCCCCCCCCCCTCCCACGAATTTACTTGGCGCATAATCGGTCGCACGGTTCGACGCTCCCGTCCTCTTCCCGAATCGGGCGGATGATCCTCGCAAACACGCCGTGGATGCGATCGTAGACCTTCTCTACCTTACGGGTCGGCGGTTGCGTCGGCGGTTGCGTCGGCGGGTGGGAGGATGGCGGGGCCGGGATCGGTCGAATCACGCTAACGGGCAAATAGGACGCTTGGATCCAGCTGATCCAATTCAGGAACCTGAAGAGAGTGAAAAAAGACGAAAAGTGGAATTTTTGTCGGGAACGTTGCGACGGAAACGACGCGAGGGGAAAATCCCGCTCTCACCGGCTGACTTTGGTGAAGACGCTGAGCATCCCCGGCTTCCTCTTGGAGCATTCCGGCTCGCCGCAGAAGTGGCTCACGATCCCCTCCACGGTCCAGCGGGTGTCCGAGAAGGCGCGGGACGGGAAGACCATGGGACTCCCGGAATCCCTCGGACACACCATTCGGTAGGCTGGACTTGGTGCTTAACGTCATGTTATAATGCACAACCGGAGTTACACTTTCTTTTTATACCCCTCACGTTCAGGTAGTCGTTGTATTCAAGATGAATTTGTCGCGTGAACATTTCCGAGCGATGTTTCTCTATGGCCTCAAATGCGGACTCGATTCAAAGGATAGTCTTGAGCGCTAGCAACGGGCTTTTGCAGAGGAATCACCATCTCTTAATACCATATTTGAGTGGTCCGCACGGTTTCGGATGGGAAGGGTGTCCTTGAAGGATGAGCTTCGCTGTGGCCGGCCACCAACTGCAGTGAAAGATGAACATGTGGCCGTTGCACGGAAGATGGCTGAAGAAGACCATTGAATCACACATGACGACATTCAGGTCCTACTTGAGGTCGGATCGGCAGCACCGAACGGCATCCTGCACAGACGTCTTGGTCCGATGACGGTCACCAGCCGATGGGTCCCTCGTTGGTCTCACCCCAAGACAAGAGGAGGCCATGGTGGAATGGTGTGAATTCGTGCCTCCAGAACTTCATCTCTGGGTATTCAAGAGCCATCTTTGACATCATCACAGGGGAATTAATCCCGCATATGTCAATTTGATCCAGAGGGAGACAAAGCGCCGATCCACCGACTAGCTTTTCCCTCGTGAACCGACCCCAACCCAAGGTCGAGCAATTGGTGGCTAGTTTCTTCTGTTTCACTGGTCACACAGCCACCATACCACGTCGAGGTCAAAAGACCGACTTCGAAGTGGTATGCACAATCCTTGCCTCACAAAGGTGGTGGAATCTTTGAAGAATCCGAGGTCCAAGTCTCCCTCGAAGTCATGGTCATAACAAAAGTCATAACGAATCGCATCGTGGACAACGTCTCCAGAGAACCAGTTGCTAAAAATAATTTATTTTAGTCGTCTCGGGTATTCCAATATCTGAGTAGAAAAAACGCTCTGGGAAATGGTCTGCAAAGATGAGAAACCGCGTTAACGCTCAGGGAGAATTCTTCGAAAAGCTGTAACGATTTAACACCCAGCATTTACAGCTGTCCGTATCTGTAACATTCAGAGTGTCCCCTGTATGATGCAACTCCTAGCTGCTGAAGGCGACAATAAATTCTGATTCCGTTCCAAAAGAATAGACTGTAGGATTTTCCCAACCTGACTAAGATATCTCAGACGTTACCGACTGAAAAAACGACCGCGTGACCTATTCTACCTTCAGGAGAAGTGGTATGGTCGTAACCGGGAACATGTTTCCGGTGAGAGCGACATTGACCTTCCCCCGTGACGTGTGTCGTGACGTGTGTCGTGACCAGACGACACTCCGCAGAATGTAAAGGAAAGTAGGAAATAACGAACTGTCATTATAAAATTACATTGCTTTGTGGTCTGAGCCAACGGTGGAACTTCGTGTAATACAAAAGAAAAACTAAGAGAGAAGAATGCAATTCAAATTCAAATCGCGTTTGAAAGGTTTTCCGCCCGGAAATCCGCCATCAGGGATCCCGCGAACGCCCGAGGACATCCCCGCGCGATTTCCCGCACAATCGCGGCGGAAAGGATGGACCAGTTCTGCGAGGTCCTCAAGGCCTCGTGCTTCTTCGGCGAGGTCCTCAAGGCCTTCGTAGTCGGAATTATTCACTTGGACGTATCAAATCAGAGACATAGAATTCAATTTCCGATTTCGAGAATTAGTGTTAATCGTTAATCGCCATTGATGTCAGAGGTTTATCTGATGAACTCCAGAATCCCGTCATAAAGTGCATGAAGAGATCACTATTGACAAGGGTAAGAAGTCGGGAAAAGGAACCAATGTCAAATCCTGTTTCCGGTATCCGGCTGCTGGATGCCGGATTACGGGCTCAGAACACCAGCAAACAAATCCCGCAAGGTTCGCCAAAAAGTTCCTGTCGCTCTCTCTCGCAGGCGGCGCTCCCAAATTTTTGCAGTTTCGGCCCATGATCATTTCCAGCGCTTCGATCATTTTTTCGGGAAGGAAAAAAAAAAAAAGGTAGGATTCTCCCGTTGAGAAATGAACCGGCGAGGACTTCTGGCTTCGGGGGGCATGAGGCCCGTGCCGATCATCGCGATATCGCGATATCGTTCGATATATGACTCGGGTCCTCTGGTTTGAGCGAGTGGATTTTGCGGGCCGTGACTGCGCCGGGGATCGGACGTTCCCCATCGGGTCGGCCTCACGAAATGAGGCCAACTGCTACTAAAAACCATGACTTTTCGTCCTCACATCGCCAACTTCAGGGTGGAGGAGGAGACGGTTTCCGCCAAGAAAACTCATCGGCGAATGTTTTCATCATACCCCAGTGAAATAAACATCACGAAATCTCAACATGACCTGCTGAAAATGCTGAAAATAACCAATAATTAGTAATTACCAATAATTAGTAATTACCAATAATTAGTAATTACCAATAATTAGTAATTACCAATAATTAGTAATTACCAATAATTAGTAATTACCAATAATTAGTAATTACCAATAATTAGTAATTAGTACACAATAGTTATTACCATACAATAGGTAATTACCAATACCTAGCATTTCATCGATGTTGAATTTTCGTCCAATTTTTAGCGTTTCAACCAAGTCTCAACATTTCAGCCTTTCCTCAATGCTGACACGATTTTGCGCAGTGATGCCCGTGCCAAATCACGTCTCTCAACCGCTCCTGGCCGCCTGCTTCCCGCCTCGCCCGACTCCACGAACTCGGCGAAATGAGAGATGAGAGATGAAATGAGAGGATCGGAGAAGCCGAAGGGTGCGGCACCGATGGGGAAGCAGAAGAACTTGGGAGTCCGACATGAATCCTCCACGGAATCTGGCAACCCTGCGGAACGGGACGGGGCACGCCGACTAACGACAGCGGATTCCGTTTCTCTGAATTGCCTCTCTTCTCCGAAATCCCTAGGACTGGTTACCCAGAGGGGGAAGAGGGGAAAAAAAAAACAAAGCAAAAAGAAACCAAAAATGCAAAAAAAAAAGAAGAAAAAAAACAAAAAACAATTTTGATCACATCCTTAACAAGCGAGAGGTTCTCTGCAATCCCAGGGAGACAGCGTTTTCGGATAGCGTTCTGTTTTTTATTTTTTTTAAACCGCAAGGATCGATCCTCGCACGCAACGCACGCCGCGACTCCCGTCTCGACCGGCTTTCGTCGAGCCGCCATCGTTCGCTCCGACGCCGGCGCCAGCGACGGGGAAGCGCTTGCCGCTGGCACGCGGCGAGGGGTCTTCTTCCTCCTCGAGCCTCCTTCGAACGTCTCGCGACTTCCATCCGTGAGGAAGTTCCTGCCACGCCGTCTGGGACTTTTTACGACTGAGTTGGGATGCTTTTCGGGGGTAATTTCGTTTTCAGCCCATTTTCTTTCATGGGTTTGCAATTGGATACGCCTCGGAGACAATTATTGCAGGAGATTATAGCAGCCAATCGTTGCAGCCAATCGTTGCAGCCAATCGTTGCAGCCAATCGTTGCAGCCAATCGTTGCTGCCAATCGTTGTAGCCAATCGTTGCAGGTAAGACGAAAATGTCAATGGTCGCTCAATTTAATTAATATTAATCGGCTGCTTCTTCCGGAAACTGCTTCGAAACTCCAGCAGTTGGAAATTCGCCAAAAATCGAACGTCAATTTTTTTTTAGCTCTCCCCTGCATATTTTATTCGATTGGAGTTCAAATCCCGTAAACATTATTGCAAGAGGAAGCATTTCTCATGTGCAAATGAATGCTGGAAGTGAAAAAGAATTTTTCTCTTTTTTTTTTTGGACGAAAACTTGACATTGATTTTGCATGAAAATTAATTTTGCATATTTTTCACGTTAATTAACGCTGCTCGCGTGGGAAAGTTTCACATGTCCCGATTCGGCGACAACATTCCGCACATGTCCATTTCGCAATTAGCAAAATTGGCGATTCCAACTGATTAAGATAATGAAACACTGACTAGGGCGCGGTTGATTCTGGCTTTCTCAGGGCTTAATGCTACTTGCTTAAACGTTCGTCCATGGTTTATAGGGCGTAAAAAGGTTCAAAGTCAACCCTCTTCAAAGGCTACGCTAGGCTTGGTCTGAAAATGTTGCCAAATTAACTCGCATTGCTCCGAATGTTGCCAAATTAACCCGCATTGCTCCGAATGTTGCCAACATTTTCCGCGAGGAAAAATATTCCACTTTCCATGCAGGAGTTCATTCCGCATCGCCGAGACGGAAGCGAATCGACGAAGCGACGCGACTCCCTCTCGCCGAGCCCCCCCTCGCGCCGAGCCCTCCCTCTCGCGCTCCTTCCCGTTTCTTCGCTCGCCCCGGGAAGACGCGAGCGCTGACGTTCATTCCACGTCCGTCGCTTTTCACGCCCCAGGTGAGTCCGCTTCTCCTCTCTTTTAGTCCCAGGCGATGAAAACAAAGCATATTTCATGAGTGAACACCTTATTCATATCATTAATATAATATATAATGCATATAAATGTAAAATATATAATATTATATATTATGTAATATGCATAATTTTAACATGCATGAAATGATTTTTACCAATATTAATATTCCTTTTTTAACTGTCGCTTTTTCAGGTTTGAAAAGGGTGAACTCTATATAATTTCATCCAACGCAATCCCACTCGCGTTTCTAGAATTTCTGTCCAGCATAATACCTTGTTTGCCGGTTCTGTCGAGGGGGGATCGGACACGAATATTTTTCCATTCGGTCATTCTAGTTTTCGCGACATTTACTCCACACGATATCACCGACCCCGATTAAAAGTTAATTACGGGAACAGCGCTCCGTGCCTCTCAATCCGGAAAAACATGCAACCGAGAGAGCGATCCGCGCATGAACGAGGATCCAAATCGAGTGAATTTGTCAGATTTCAACCGACAAGATCGTTTCCAAAGTTTTCGGAAAATTCCTTCCTCGTGGGATTCTGAAGCCTTCATGAGCTAAACCAGGAGAGCAGAGGCATAAAATCTCCTTCGAGGAAAACGCACGCTTCGTCCACCATAGCGACTTCCTTTCCTGCTTTGCGCTGACGTTCGCGTGTCTCTGTCATTCCATTCCGCTCGCGTAGCGCGAGCGGAGGGGGAGGGGGGGTGGTGGGGGGGGGGAGAATAAATCAAGCTTTTGTTTCCCTTTCCTCCTGAGAAAGGAACGAAAAATTTAGGGAGCTAAATTATTTTTCATCCAGAGAAAGTATTCAATTCATATCATGAAACCGAATAGAAATTGAAAAAATAAATTATAATGATAACAATAATGACGGCATAGCACTATTTATTTTAAAAAAGAACACGAATCTTAACTATAATAAGGAAAAAGTATATTATAATAATTATAATAATACATTTCTGCAAAGCGAAGGGAAACTTGCATCATTTAATTTTTTAATTTTATTTTCATTTGTGTTTTCCAAACAATAGTCATTATTTAGAAAGCGCAAGCTACGCTCCGCTTGGCCGTACGTCAGGTCTGCTACCGCTAAAGGCCCTACACTAAGAGAAAGAACTTGACTCGTAGTCGTCGAAAAATGCGCGGTTCAAAGTCCTAAGGATACCGGATCGGCAATCAGGAGCGAAAGAAAAATTTGGAAGGACGGTCCGACGCCAAAGTTGCTTATCCGGCCCCGCGTCAGCCAGCCATCCCAAGCATGACTCGCTCGCGCTCGCGGAGGTGATTCCTCCAACGAAGTGATTGCTCGAGCGGAGGCGATTCCTTGGACGAGGTGATTGCTCGAGCGGAGACGATTCCACGAACGAAGTGATTGTTCGAACGGAGGTGATTGATCAAGGAATGAGATGAGAGGGATCGGGAATATAAAACCAGCGGATTTTCTTGTCATGAAACGTAAGAAGAGTCGAACTCTCAGGAAAAACGCGCCTTTACTAGATTCTTAGAAGTTCAGGTTTCATGGTTTTGTCCTTGACATTTCCGTGAAGTGTCAACCGCAGCTTGTAACTGGAGGAATTCTGGCCTGAAGAACGCCAAAATGGATTCTGCATCTCGTCGATGAGAAACGCCAAGTGACGGAGGAATATTTTCGTTTCGAGACGGAGAGCGGCGAAGAACAGGGAAAGCTGAGTAACGGGACGTCACCTCAGAAGGTTCTCATTTCATATCCTCATTTCAGGTGAGGATCGTACCGCGGGTCGGATCGTCGAGGAGGTCGGCATGTCGTCAGCGAAGAATTACAGCGACAAGATCGCGATGCACCTCCAGCGGCAAGCCGAGCAGACGGCCGTCGTCGACGCCCTCCTGAGGGAGGTCCGGGAGCTGACCGGCAGAAAACGTCGGAAGGTAAGCAGGACAACGTGCTTCAGGTCGACTTCCGTGTCGTCTCTGAAAACGGAGTAAAGCCGGCACGCGACTCTCCGTGCAGATGGAGAACGGCAGCAGGGTCGATTCCAAATCGACTGGCGTCGGTCCCGATGGATCTCCCCTCGCCGTTTCTCCTGCTCGGATGCTCCAAAATCAGAGTTAGTGGATGAAGTACTCATGAAAACAATGAATTGTAATTTGCTGTTGAATTTAGCGTTGAACATGAAATAAGCTCAAGACCCGGAAACGGGTGATCACAAGCAATTTTGGAGGATTCTTTCGATTCTTCGCTCTCCGCATCACATCTCGAAAATTCGCGCGATTCCAAGAGTAAATAAACAATACAATAAACAAACAAAAAAAAAAAAGCAAAGCAAGAAATGAGATTCTTTCGGTATCTCCAGTGGATAGATTGTCGATTGTCGAACGCTTGTCGATTTCCCGTTAGGCGCTGCTGGAACGAGTCGGCCGCCGAAACTCATGAAGATCGATCTCGACGCCCTCGGGTCGCATCCGCCCGTCGACAGGTCATTTCAATTCCGACGATTCTCTGGAGGCAATGCAATGGAAATGTAATGGGAACGCAATGGGAACGTACTCTCTTCGGCAGCGGCCTTCAGCCGGAGCGGAAGAAGAGCGAGACGGGAGGAGCAGGGAGCGCGAAGACGATCAAGGCGGTAACGGAGGTCGAGTCGCTCCACGATCAGGGGCCGACGAGCGATCGACCCCGGGCCGACGACGCGGGACGCTGGGATCCCGGCTTCTCCGAGTCTCACGACGCCGTGCGTTTTTATCCCTTGGTGGGAGATGGGTCCTGCTTGATATCGAGGCGCCGTTTCTAATATACCTTTCCAAGAAAAAGTAGTGGGGTGAAAACAACCGTTCACCCGGACGGATCCCGAGCCCCAAGGCCTTCTTCATTCACGTCTCTCGCATTCCCTAAGGCCGCGTCCCAATCAGCAATGGGTTGCTGTGGGCCCTCTGACTCGATTTGGGCTGAGGAGAGTCATGTCCCCGACTCGAATGGGACTCGGGATTTCGGGCGATTCCATTTTCTATTTCCCTGCCGGGTTGACCCCCAGCGCATAGGTTTTTATTAGAATATCGATGCATTGTAATGATAACTCAGGCAGCACAGAACCTTTGGCCTACGTTGGCTGCGAGTGAGGGACCGTTGGCCCACTTTGCAGTGGGCTGCCCGCGTCGGCCCCACATCTGTGCTAGGTCGACAGTCAACACTTCTGCATCTGGCTTACATCTAGTTTCCTTTTGTGGGATGCAGATTCGGTCATCATGCATCCTATTTGTCTGCATCCAATATTTGGGATGCATTCACATATCTGAAAAAGTTTTGGAAAAAAATTTATCATGAGGTTAATTCATTTCATGGCAAAACAAGGGAACACTATGCTCAGCACTGTTATTTTTCTTTGTCACCATTTGGTTATGCTCAAATGTTTGGTTTATCGGGTTATTTCAAACGCGGAAACGGTACCTAGCGATACTAAATATATAATATGCATTACAGCAAAATAGTTGCCCAAATGATTGATTAATTATTTACACATTTTTTTGGAACCCAAAATTTTTCCTGCGAATTCCTCAGCGAATTCCTCAGCGAATTTCTCAGTGCAGTCCAAAAAATTCAAAAGAAATTTGCTCAGCTCCTATTTCGGGAATTTCACAAACATTCTCTTTTTTAAAAATTGATTCTATATTGACATTTTGGATTCTGATTGATGATTGACCGCGCATCGACAACGTAAACATAGGGAAAGCGTTGAAAATTCTTTTATTTTCATTTTTCAGGTCGGAAATTAAATTTGGAGGGATTTGAGGATCTATTCCGGAAAGCAAGGAACCTGCAGAAAACTTCGTAGAAATTTGGAGTCGATGTGCAAGAATGATGTGGGTGCGACGGAAATTTATTTAATATGCTTCCAGCACGATTTTCTATTCGGACACCTTGCAGGGTATTTTTCTCATACAAATATGTAAATAGTAAGTGAATAGATGTGATGCACGACTCTGATGAGAAATGAAATGGACCGGGCAAAATGTCTGTATCGGGATGAGTGCTGATGGATGGAAGAAAAAGTCATCCTCCTTCTCTTTTAACCTTGCATTAAAGGACAGAGAAGTATCACCCTTGCGGTAGCAAAAGGGCATGAATATTGCAGGGATGCGTCCCTGGGATGCGTCCCAGGGATGCGTCCCAGAGATGCGTCCCAGGCATTCGTCCAGGGGATGAGTCCCAGGAATATATGCCAGGAATGGCATCTCCAGAGCATCGCAGGGAGAATACATCTGGATGTCTTTTGGATCGATGCAGAGTAGCTCCACGGGACGTGCGATTCTTCAGGAAAGGACGTCCGTAAGTCTCCTGAAGGATGCGCTGATGACCGTGGAGTAGCACCAAAGTCAGCATGTCGCTTCTCAGGATTCTCCCACGATGGAAGACTCTCGGGACATCCTCGGGCTGTTTCGCGCGGACCTCCCGAGGGAATGGGAGGCCTGGGTGTCATCTCTTGCTATCGGAGTCACATTTCATGCAGGTCGCTGCATTTAAACCTGCACGTTAGCGTTTCTTCAGACGAGCGACTGATCGCTACCATGCTCAAAATACACATTATTAAGATTGGGTTGTGTACTCGTCACCGTTCATTTTCATTTTTTTTTGCCGCTATTTCAGACCGGTTTTCTGGAAGGTATAAACAATTTGTTGGCCAAGGTCGATCATATTCCCAGCCACCCCAGCTTTCAGATAATACGATATTGCTTACATTGAACGATCGATTTCACATAAATGAATCGATGACTCACGAACCAAATCGAATTCAAAGGGAAAACATAAAAAATCATGTCGCATTATGGCCTGCTGCCAATGGTAAGCAAGCCCTAACAAGGAGAAGTTTGTTCATGGTGATGTTCCAGAAATATGTGAGAAATGTTCAATGGGGTTACGTGCGGAATTATTGAAGACATTTTTAAAATTTCACCTTTTTTTTTACCGTTCCTAGTCTTATTTTTTGTATCTCTTCGCGCTTCTCCCTTAACGGTTACACGGGATGGCCACAACGAAATGGCACTCTTTTCAGTGCGCAATTTAGGTGCGACGCATAAAAAAAATGTCACTTCACATGAAACACGATTTCACGACAATTTTTTTCTTCAGAATTTATACATATTAAGGAATGGCTTGGGGAAAATTTGAGGCAAGCGACGCACGGAGTATATGGCGCGAGGCACGTGACAGAAAGAGACCCTATCCCGCGTTTGGCGGGCCTGCTTGGAGTCGCGCCTCATCCATTCAATCCGTTTTGGGTTGCACAGTCGGCCTAATCGCGAGTGCTTTCCCTACACTCTGCCTTTGGGAAGCGAACCATCCGGCGGCAGGCACACCTCCTCGCCTTTGCGATGTCTGCGGAGGTGAACGATATGCTGGATGGGGAATCCCTCTTCTCGGACATCGCGTTCTGCCGGTCCATTGCCTTCCGCAACTGATTCTCGGCTGAGTTGCTCCCAGCACATCGCAATGCGCTGTCGCCGGTTCGCGTTTTTGCTGCAAATAGGCTACAAACGAAACCGTCGACAGGACCTAAATCGCGTCAGGTTCGCTGAAATCAGCACGATTGGTATTGAGATCGTTCTTCCAGCTCCATCTCGGCCTTGGGACGGCCAATTGAGTTTCTTGTCACAGAAACAAATTCCTTCAATCGTTCCAGTCGCTTTTGCTTCATCTTCCTGGTAAGCCGTTGTTTACTTTCGTGTCGAGGTCATGTTTCGCGATTCGCTCGCCGCATTAGATGTGCCTGCCGATTTTTCGCAACCGATATGCAATAAATATTTTTCAAGTCGTCCTTCAAATATATTTTAAGCTGGAAAAAATGATGTTTTAGCTGAGTCTTTCTTCTTTGCCATCTGAATGAAAAACGTAGTCCCGCCTCTCAGGATTTCTCAACCAACGAAAAGACGCCTGCTCCATGCGAACGGACGAAGAGCCGTGTTCCCCCACGCCGCCCAATCGCAAGCGCCCTGCAACGCTCCCTCACGCCGCGCGCTCTCGCCTGCCCGGCTCCCGCCTCACACTCCCTCCACTCCCATTCCCGTGCTTGTTCTCGGCGCCGGCGCATCGATCGTGTTTCAGGTGAGCATTCGATTGTTTTATTTATTTATGTTATATTTGAAAAATTTTGCTGATTCCAAAAGTATGTTGACGTGACTGTTCCCCCCTAGCCTTTCTCGCAGTTCATCCATTTTCCTCATGGTCAAGTCGAGTAGCCGCTTTGCAAAAATTCCTCTTAATGCGCGTAGTTGCATTTTATACATTTCTAAGAAAAAACTACTAATTAAGTTACTGTAGTGGAATGGGTATTTATTGCATGAAGTCATCCGAACTATTATAATGTCATATCACTCTCTTCGTTCAAAATTGATGCAATGGTGCAGTTAATATTAATAGGGCATTGTTGAACTCGTCTGCAATTTGCGAGTGACATTTTGGCAATTCTACTAATCCAGTCGTCTCACAAGTCCCCAAGGAGGAAATCCAGACGTGAGGGCAGTGCAAAGCCCTGTGAAAAATATCGTAGACATACCCGTTTCCCGCACCAGCAGACGCACGCATGCGTGCCCGGCGCGGTGGGGACGGCGCGCCGGGGAGCCCGTTCCTCGCCACCCTGTCCCCCTGCGGAATGTTTTCCGGGTCGCAGGTCTTCTTCCTGCCGGATCCGCCGACATCCACCGCCTCCACGTCTCCGCGACCCCTCAACTTGAAGCTGCTTCTGGAACAAATCAAGTTGTCCGACGTAGCTTCTGCGCGGAGTGCCTCGCTGACGTTATTATTTAGAGATGAATCCTTTCGTCTTGTTGACATGGCCCTCTCAGCTTTAACATTGGTTTTCTTTCTATCGTGGAAAGGTAACTAAAATGATTTTACCTTTCCCAAATGCAAATCATTACAAACTCGCTTTTTTGTGGGTCCTGCATGAAAAGGGGCTGATATTTCCTTTCGTCTCCTTAATGACTAGCATCAAGAGGACCGTCCGACGGGTAACGGGATTCCCAACGCCACCGGTGGCAGGGTCTCCCCCTCGAGCGACAATGGAAACGGGACCGCGCGAATCTCCGTCGCGGAGATCCCGGGTATGCCGGGGCATTCACCAGGTTCGGATCGGTTTCGATCTGACTCGTCGTTCTTCATCCCCAGACTGGCGGGAAACGGACAGGCGGGAGACGGACTGGCGGGAGACGGACTGGCGGGAGACGGACTGGCGGGAAATGGACTCTTCTCTCCTGGGTCGGGACCTAGGCTCAGATCAGAGTAGAGCGGCAGCAATACTGGACTCGGTCTTATTCTCTTCTGGAGAAAACGAAGGAGTGCGCAAAAATGTTCTTTTTCATCATTTCTTTTCATTGACTCTTTCAAACTCGCCTGTTTCTGAAGCAGAGCCAGAAAAAAAAAAACAGAACTGCCAAGAAGTCGAACTCGATGGAATTCGATCCACGAGTTTGTGTCTGTGTGTTATTGTGCTTCGAGGGTATAGCAGAAAATTTCTGACAGAAATTGTCAACAATATCGGTTTAGTTCAGAGGTCCCACCAATCGCCGAAATCATTCTCATCTTCATCCACGAAACCTCGAACGGGAAATCTTCAATGTGTCTGAGGAACTTGATGAGGGCTGCCAATAGATACTCGTCAAAGGCCGAGAAATCGATTGAAACACTCAGTCCAAGTGTTGTGGGGAAACTATTAATAGAATCCCGAAAGGAGTTTGCCAGTTTTGAACTTCACCTCTTTAAGGCATGTTAAAACATCTTCTTTTTAACTTAATAAAAGAA